CAGGCGGCCTGCCCGGGGAGTCACACTCGGCGGCCGCCGCCGGCGCAGCGAGCGGAGACGGGCCCTGCCGCAGCGACCTGACCTGGACGAGCGGCGCGCCCGGGGGCCCAGGCGGGGGGCGGGAGGAAGCGCCGGGCAGCGCCGGCCGCCCGGGCCCAGGAGGAGCTGAGCTGAGAGGAGCTGGGACACGGGTGGGGCCGCCGCAGCTCCGGATGGGACCAGCGCCCTGGGCCCGTTAGTCCAAGCAGGAGCTTCAGGAGAAGCCTTCACAGGGAGATTTACCCCTGCCTTTCCCAACCCTCCGGCCCAGGCCTCGCTTCGCTCTCTGCCTGCCCATGGTCCCGGTCCTTCCGCGGTGCGGGCCCCCTCCCACCTTACCCCTTGGTCCTCCTTTTCGCCGCTCTCTGCCCTCCTAGCCCCTTTAGCAGGGAGGTAGCCCCCAGGCCTTTTCTTTGTACCAGCCACCCCCCACCCCCACCCCATCCCAGCCTCGGATCCCTTTTGCCTTCTCAGCTTTAGATTCATCAGTCTGCTTCACCTCTCACTGTCCCCATCCCAGTCGCAGGCCCCTTTGGTAACCTCCCTCCCTCTGCCACCCTGCTCTTAGTCCTCAGTCCTCACCCACCCCTGGGCCTTCCTCCCATCTCCTCCTCCTGTCCCGCCCTACCACTTTTGTACCTCAGTCTACCTAGCTTATCCTCGCTTCTCTTCCTGACCGACTTCTCCAGGTTCCAGGCTGGGTGGTGCTTGTGCCTCCTGGGTAGGCCAGAGTGGCCCCAGGATCTGGGGCTGGTGGGGCTGCTGCTTTCTCCCCATGGCACTGCCATCACTCCTGCTGTTGGTGGCAGCCCTGGCAGGTGGGGTGCGTCCTCCCTTGGCGCGGAATCTGACACTGGCAGTGGTGCTGCCAGAACACAACCTGAGCTATGCCTGGGCCTGGCCACGGGTGGGTCCTGCTGTGGCACTAGCTGTGGAGGCGCTGGGCCGGGCACTGCCTGTGGACCTGCGGTTTGTCAGCTCTGAACTAGATGGCGCCTGCTCTGAGTACCTGGCACCGCTGCGCGCTGTGGACCTCAAGTTATACCATGACCCTGACCTTCTGTTGGGCCCAGGTTGTGTGTATCCCGCTGCGTCTGTGGCCCGCTTTGCCTCTCATTGGCGCCTTCCCCTGCTGACTGCGGGTGCTGTGGCCTCTGGTTTTGCGGCTAAGAATGAGCATTATCGTACCCTGGTGCGCACTGGCCCCTCTGCTCCCAAGCTGGGTGAGTTTGTAGTGACATTACATGGGCACTTCAATTGGACTGCCCGTGCTGCCTTGCTGTATCTGGATGCTCGCACAGATGACCGGCCTCACTACTTCACCATTGAGGGCGTCTTTGAGGCCCTGCAGGGCAGCAACCTCAGTGTACAGCACCATGTGTATGCCCGTGAGCCAGGGGGCCCTGAGCAGGCCACCCACTTCATCCGGGCCAACGGGCGCAGTAAGTGTAGCCCCAGCTATTTTAGGGTCAGGGGAGGAGGGTCGCTGTATCCCTGGAGGTCAGCACTGGGAAACTGTAGATGGAGACAGGTATTGAGGAGCTGTATGTGGTGGTTGGGATCAAGAAGGATCAAGAAGCACATGTAGACAGAGCACCTGTGCGAAGGCTAAGGCATTATATTAGGGGAGCTTGTGAATATCATGGGCAGATGTAAACAAGGAATAGGATAGCATGAGGGGTAAAGCTTGTGTCAGGGGAGAATGTGGGATTGGGGGGAAATTGAATTTGGGGAGCAGTGGAAATGCCCTGGAGTAGTGAATGTGGTTAACGGCTACTCCAAAATGTGTGACTATCTGTGAGCAGAGATTTCTCAGATTGGGGCACCAAGACCCCTTATAGCGTTGGTCTGTAATAAATCGCTAAAACAGTAATGACTATAAATGGGCTTTAGGGTTCAGTAGCTCGGGTTGGGAAAGGCAGGTAAAGCTCACACTGAGAGAAATTGTGAGCAGCAAGTGCCTTTGAGCCTAGGGAATGGCAGGGCAGAGTGGGCGAGTGAGGAGGGTTGGGTGAGGAGCAGCAGGCAGAGCTCTGGGAAGAGGAGGAGCTCGTAGTTCCCTTTCTCTGGGGTCTGGAGTCAGACCCTGACTTCTGCCAGATGGTCTATATGGCCCCAGGGTACTTATGACATAGACTCCAAGGGGGAGGGCTAGGGAGCATCTGTTGGGTGGTGGGTAGGTTAGGGCACTCTCTTCCTTGCTAACGATGGAATTATTGATGGTTTCAGAGAGGGGGCTGTTTGGGGACCTGGACACGTTCTCAGGATGCCCCTATGTTGTATTCCTGCTCCCAGTTGTGTATATCTGTGGCCCTCTGGAGATGCTGCATGAGATCCTGCTTCAAGCCCAGAGGGAGAACCTCACCAATGGGGATTATGTCTTCTTTTACCTGGATGTCTTTGGGGAGAGTCTCCGCGCAGGCCCCACGCGCTCTACAGGCCGACCCTGGCAGGACAATCGCACCTGGGAACAGGCCCAGGCCCTCAGAGAGGCCTTTCAGGTATCATTTGAGCCATACTTGAGGGAGGAAGGGGACTCACAAGACCCCACAGAAACCCCAGGAACAGGGCAGGAACCGGGAGCTGCAGGAATGAAATGAACAGAGAGGCTTTTCAAGTTTAGTATCATTCTTACTTCCTCACCTTCGTGACTCTTTCTCAGTGTGTCTGCCAAGGCTCCCTCCCAAGATCCTGGAACACTGACTTTCCTAAGTGCCAGCAGTAGACTATAGTGTGGGGGAGAAAAGTTCATGGAAAGATCTGCTTTCAACCCAGGGGAGGGCTTTCACCCTTTCTGGAGAGGTGAGGCATGATGTGGTACCATTAGATACAAGTGCAAGAAAGGATATGATTATGTGTCCTGGAACAGACACTGATAACTTTAGTGGTTCAGAGGAGGGAAGAGTAAATGTGGCTGGGGTTAGGGAAGGCTTTTATAAAGGAAGTGAGGCTCTATTGTGACTTTAAAGACAGATGTCATATTCCTAGTCAGAGTGCGAGAGAGGATCCAGGCAGCCTGAACGAAGAGAAAAAGAGAGGAATGGGCATGTTTGGGAGACCAAGAAGATACTGACCTGAAAAGAAAGAAGGGTTCGCTTGAAGCAGATATAGGAAATAATGTTGCAAGGGTATAATCAGATTAAGGAGAGCGCTGAACCTAAGACTAAGGCACTTGGACTTGAATGTGGTATCCTTGAGATTTTTTGGATTGGAAGAGGAGGAGGCTAGAGGCAGTGAGACCACCTGTAATAGGTTAGAATGGAGTGAGGTGAAATGGCCTTGAACTAGGGTAATGATACCGGAATGGAAGGAAATGGTTTTGAGAAACAATTTGTAGGGAAAGTACGTGGCTCTGTTCGTTTCATTCCTCTGCTCAAAAGTTTCAATGATTTATTTCCTACAGAATAAAGTCCCGACTCTTTAACATGACATTTAAGACCTTCTACAAGGTCTTCTCAACCCACCTTTTCACTCTTCCTTCCTAGTGCCCTTCATGATGAAGTATTCCAGCCCCTGGCCCCTGGGCCTCCCTGCCCCCCCTGCCTTTGTCCTCTTTGATCCTTTTGTCTGGAATACTTTTCCTTCCCTCACCCTGAATCTCTGCCTCTCAAAATCATACCCATGAATTGTTCCCTGATCTTCCCACAAATTTTTCACTAACTTGTATACATAAGTGTTTCTTATTTATTTTTCCATATCCCTCCTTTTCCCAAAAAGGATTTGAGGTGGTGTATGGGATAACCTTGAGGTCCTTTCGACCCTGAGAGTCTTTGACTCTAAGTAGATGTGTATAAGGGCTAGTCATCTTCTCCAATGAGTAAGGTTTTATGTGGCTGTGATTATATATGTGATTGTGACTGACCAATGTGTATCTGACTGTGAATGACATTATCTGTTTGCATGCCTGAGCATGAGCCTGTGACTGTCACACCTGAACATGGGCAGTGGCAAGAAAAGTTTTATTTATGCTCTAACTTTTGCCTAAAACAATATTTTCACCTTTGTCTGTCTGGATAATGCTTGTATATTCTTCAAGACTCAGATCAGTTATTTTCCC